AACTATGAACCTCATTCTATTTTTTTCTTAAACTTTTGAACATTCAATTTCCAGACTACGTATATACTACAAACCCGTTAAAAAACCGTTATAACTATATATATTATTATTATATTATAATTAGAAAATTAGGTCTAAGGTTGAAACCACTTACATATTTGGATGAAATTGAGGATGAAATTGGAAGATTCACAAGTTTGGGGGCCAATTTAGAATAAGAGTCATAGTTTGGGGGATGAATTTGGAATATTTAAAAGTCTGAGGATAATCTAGAAATGAAATAAATTTAAGAATGTATAGAATGTTAAAAAATTAAGGAACCATTTTAAAATGAGAACCATAGTTTGAGGAAGTGTAGTAGAATATATTCAATTAGTTAAGAAAGATTGATATTATAACTCTTTTTAAAGAAGTCCAATGCTAATCAGAAATCTAAGTTATATTGAAAAATAATATTTAGGTTAAATTATGATTATAATTATTATATTTATTATGCAAATATATTAATTATAACATAAATTATAAAATCTTATAAATTAAATTTATAGCATCAACACGTTCTAAAAAAGTAATTGAAAAAACAACAAATGTGAAGGTTTCTTGCTATTATGCATATTAAATTTATGTACTTTTAAGAAAGAAAACTAAAAATCACTATTTAATAATCGAACACAAAATTAATAGATTTGCATATAAATTCTTTATCATTCTAGCCATGATAATTATTAAATAATTTGTTATAATATTTTAACTTAAAGGATAATTTTATACTGAAACTCACAACAAATAATCAAATTAATCCCTCCATATAAAAAGCATTCAATTGAGCCTTAACCTTGTAAATTATATCAATTTAGATCTTTGACCTACATTGATTGTCATTGTGCTAACATGATCATTGCATGACAATTCATTGTGTATATGTGGTAGTCCGTAGTGTTGAAATGTCAAACCACTATGCTAATGTGACAGTCCATATACAAATGATAACGTGATATATGGAATCCATTGATTTTTTTTAGTATAAGGCATAATTGGTATTTTAGGAATTTTTTTGGCTTAGTTGATTTTATATGTAGTGTTTTAGAGGTTAAAATTCAAGATTTTAAAATTAAATTAGGCAATTGTGTAAAATAAATTTACTCCACTGGTATATTAAATAATAACATATTATAATACTTTAAAATGTTTAAATAATATTTAATAATTAGATAGGGATATTATTTTTTTTGAAAATTATAATACCATCATTTAAAATATTCATATTATTTATTTTAATTTTAGTGATATTTAATATCCATCATTTTTAATATTATAATAGATATATCAATTAAAATCGTAGTTTGATTGCAACGGGATAAATATGTTGATACTTATTAACTTAGTTTATATGTGAAAAATATATAGAAAAATAATTTTAAATTTGTATGAGATAAAAAATATGTCAATTATATACAATTATAGTTTTAATAAGAATATTTTAAATTATACAAGATAAAAAAACGTTGACAGTTTTTAAATTATTTTTTAAAAATAAAATTGGTTATAATTATACGGAGATAAAATATTAATAATTGTAATTATTAGCAAAATACTTGAAATTGTATTTGATAAAAATGTTGATAATTATAGTTTTAGTTAAATATTATATATCTATATGTTGACATGCATGAGCTATTTTTCATTTAATATGAGATTATTTTAAATTTAATATGAATTATGAATCATACTTTTTCAATTAAATAATATTTCATCTTTTATAATTCAAAAATAAATAAGTTAGTATATTTTTATTTTAAAATTGTAATCACATTATTTTTGTCATAATTTTATTTTATAATAGATAGGTTTTAAAAAAAAATCAATGTACTCGTTCAAAATGATCATATAAGATTATTTTTTATAAGTATTTTTTAAAAGTTATGATTACAATATCTCGTTTATCTTATCTATATTTAAAACTTCAAAATACAATTAAATGAACAAGTGACACAATGTCCCCCTACTATAGAGCTAGGCTTTGTTGAGTTTCCTTACTATTAAAAGTTTAATTATACCCTATCTATAGGGAATTTTAGAGTCTCTCAACTATTAAATGTTACGAATGATCACTCAACTATTTTTATGTTCCAAACTCATCATTTCTATTAAAAAATTGATGACGGTCTGAGGTGGACGTAGCATGCTGACTGTGATATGATAAATATTATCCCAAAATCTCAAGAATTATACAACTTAAACGATTATGAATTCATATTTACCATATCTGAATCACAGATTAATATCCAACTCAAATGACTATTAATTTTTAACGGAAAATGACGAATTTGGAATATAAATAGTTAATGATCATTTTATAACTTTTAATAGTTAAGGGAACACCCTGTAATTAGAGATCATTTTATAACTTTAATAGTCGATGAACCCAACAAACAGTACCCTATAGTCGAGGACTATTTATGAACTTTACTCCAAAATAATTATCCAAATTTTATAATTTAGAAACAAAATCGATATAGTATAATTTTCGTCAAAAGCATAAATCTCACACTAAAAGAAATATATTTATAAATTAAAAGGGTAAATGTAAAAAATAATTATTTATTCCTTGAAATACGAAACTGTTCCATGAATAAAATCAGACCTTATTTGCATCATCAAACCAAATAATTAAAACTATAAAAAATTAATGGAATAAAAAATATATATTTAAAAAAAAGTAAAACTAATAATCACGAAACTCATTCATCCCCTCCAATCCTGAAGAAGAAGAAATAGAGCTTCTCATGTTCGGTGTAAAACAAAGAATCAGTGTAATTATAGAACGGCTGATGATGATTGACGCAAAGAAATCGGCGGAATTCGGCGTAAAAACCGGAATATTTGTTAAAAATGAAGCCGCCGGTGGATCAAACAACGGCGGAACGAAACAAGAATCACTTGCCCTTCACTTTTTCATCGGTTATAACCGACGACGAGTCATTATCATCGTTTGTTGATCCTCTGCTGTCTTCTTCATCGCTCCTCCGCCTTGGCTGATGAGGCGCCGCCGCATGGTTAGGGGCGCTCTGATGATGATGATCTTCTTCATTTCGTGACAGTCCGTGAGTTTCTGCACCAACGCCATGAAATCTTTAGGGTGTGTGTGGATGACTTTGGGAGAGTGTGTATATGATGACCGGGTGCCGTTGCTGTTGCGGCTTCACGGTACCGGTACGCCGAGAGACAGGCTGCCGAGTACGACGACGACTTCTTTATGAAATGGGGACTCCTGCTGACTTTCAACGGCCCATTGGTAGAATTATTGGTGGTGCTGTCTTTCTTTGCATGAAATTGTGTTTGGTTCATAATGCTTTTTCCTTTTAAAAAAAACAAAAATGATTTAGGTTTCGTTTTTATAAGATTTATTATGTTTCTTCTTTTTTAAATAATAAAAGAGAAATTGGTTTTATAGAAAATTTGTTGGATAATATATACTATATAAACACGTGTTTTGGATAAGCCCACACTTATATTTTGTTAACAAATAAGGTTATTGTTGCCTAGACTTGCGGTAAATCTCATTTTTGTCTCTGACTGTCTCCAATTCTAAATTAATGTGTTAATTCCATCATACGTCCCTAAACTAAAATTTCTATTTTAAATCTGTCCTGTAACTTTTTAATATTCTAATTTCATCCTCAATCCATGCCTCTCATTTTAAACTAGTCATTAAACTTTTGAATATTCTATTGACCCTCTTTCTAAATTGGTCCCAAAACTTTTGAATCTTCTAATTTCATCCCCAACTTCATTCAAGTATGCAATTATTTCAAACCTAAATTTTATTTTCTTTCAAACATATAGACCTAACAATTTTATACAAGGGATGCGATTATTACATACATAGAGTTTGGGATGAAATCGGAATGTTCAAAAAGTTTGGGAACCAATTAGAATGAACTCATAGTTTGGGAATGAAATTGAAATGTTCAAAAGTTTGAGGACTAATTTAAAATGATAGTTATAATTCAAGGATGAAAATCTTCTAATTTCATCCCCAACTTCATTCAAGTATGCAATTAGTTTCAAACCTAAATTTTATTTTCTTTCAAACATATAGACCTAACAATTTTATTAACAAGGGATGCGATTATTACATACATAGAGTTTGGGATGAAATCGGAATGTTCAAAAAGTTTGGGAACCAATTTAGAATGAACTCATAGTTTGGGAATGAAATTGAAATGTTCAAAAGTTTGAGGACTAATTTAAAATGATAGTTATAATTCAAGGATGAAATTGAAGCATTTAATTCTAAATTTTAGGTCAAAACCTATCTTCACATCACTATAAATAACATCATCTTCTTTGAGATTTTGAAGACGCCGTACGTATCAAAAAAGTCTTATTTTTCTAATAGGGTAAAGTCATTAATTGTGAAAAAATTAATTGAAGAGATTTCAGATAAACCCAAATTATGAGTTTTTTTTCTTTTTTACTTTTGTTTCGTCAGCCACATCATAGATGAGCGCAATTGACAATTTGTAAGGCGAAGAAACATATGTTTTTTTTTTTACGAATTAAATTTAAATTCACGAAATAATTGAAGAGTCACGAATAATTTATAATACTTACTTTTTTACTTTTTCTTTAAATTTTTTTTACCTCAATCAGGGGCAGATGCATTTGGCTCTAGGAGCCGATTGCATATAAATTATTAAATATAATTCAGGATATTAGGAAAACAAGAAAAAAAATAAAAGAATTTGCATACTTATTTTGTTGAAAAAAAGAGTATCAAAACTTTTGGACCTCAACTATATTTAGAAATTTAAAACCGCCGCTACCTCAACTGTTCGTTCTATTATCAACATGTAATACCCCAACATGCACTTACTTAACAATATTAGATTTGTCTCACTTTGCCATTTGAACGAAGGATCAACGAGATTGAATTTCACAATAAAAATGTTCAAACAATTGACATTATAGGGTAAATAAAGAAAGAAAAGTACACGTAAAAAATGATTCCTTGACGATTGACATAATATGGTGCCCTGAGGGTATTAACAAAAAGGATGGTGGCTCTCGTCACGATCAAAGGTGATCGTGCACCATTTTCATCATGTTGTTCTATGAAGGACTTAACTAGGTCTTTCCATGAGCTTAGTCAGGCACGACTCAATTATCGAGCTTTACGATGATGAAATAAGAATATACTAACCTCGACTATAATGGATCACAATCTATGTGTTTTGACATGCTATATCCATTCTAGTCTCTAGACATTCAATGGATTCCTTGTTTCCTGTCTTAGTATAAGCAGAGCATATATTCAACACACGAATCATCATATCTAATATTTGAAACCAAATAAGACGCTTGGCTAATCTACAAAATGAGGCACTTCCCCATTTCTCAACTTTAGTATCAGTACTTCCTCACCTGCTTTTAGGCCAAACAAACACCGGGATAGAGAAGCCAAAAAGTAAACGATAAAAGCATCTGCAAGTCACAACACTTCTTACCACATAAGGCTCAACTTTAAAAAGCTTTGTATTGGCCTTCAAATAAATTGGCAAGCTCGCAAAGGAGCCTTGAGATGAAATTAATTCCTATAACCCTCCGCAGCTATTAAACCTTCTCATTGGCGAAGAATCTGCTGGAGCTGAAGTACTTGATTTCTTTGCTCTGGAGGCAAGAGATTAATCTGCTCTGGAGTGAGGCTCATTACCTGCTGAAGTAGTGCCTTCTCCATCTCAGGAGTCAACTAAAATGAGCAAACAGAAAAACTAACCAGTAAATAGATCAGCTCAGCTATTGATAATTAATCTTCGATTCTATGAAACCCAAAGTTTGGATAATCACCGATGCAGTACGAGGGGCCTGGTTTCCAGGACCCATCTGATTGGGAACCAAAGACGAGGGTCCTTGAAGCTGTGGTAGTGTTGAATTATCTGGTTGGCTTGACATCCAAGAAGATCCTCTATTGGCCTGCATTGAACCTCGAACTTGATTGCCAAAGTCGGATCCTAAATGTAAGCTTCCTGCCTGAAAGAATAAAGAAAATTTGTCAATTAAGCAATAGACATTTCAGACAAGGTACTGTTCCATGAGACATGGAATTTATTTCCACTAAATATAGAAAATCAAGCTCAAGGAATCTTAAAACTGCATTTGTCAATTAGTACTTTTTCATTTACTCTTTTTTCCCTTAAAATTAAAATAAATAAAGTTGAATACTAAAAATATATATCATATTTATTAACAATAAACTTTAAAATATAACACAAAGCATAAACTAGTCAACCAATCACCTAGAAGAAGTGGGATCCATATTGACAGATTGCATTGTGCCACATAAAAGGTAATTGGATATACTTTAAATACAAGATAGAACACGGAGCGTGCAGGCTCGTCATCTTAGATAAGCAAAAACAAAAAACTTGAGCTTACTTTTATAATCAGCCACAAATAATGGTTCACTAATTGCTAAAAATAATACATATAAAAAACTAGATTATCCACATACTTGATTTTGATACATTGATTGAGGTGGCAACTGATTTGAGTGTGGTGTCTGTCCTTGTGGAAAAGAGGAACCAAGGCCAGGTGGCGGTTTATTACCAGACTGGACAATAAAACAGTAAAAAGAATTAGTGTGACATTACAAGGGAGCATCCAAGACCGACTTCCAAAATGTAACTTCCGACTTACATGGAACATCGGCTGTGAATGATGCTGGGGAACACCAGGGTGCTGGAAACTGACATTAGGACCCATTTGGGGAGTATACTGATGATGTAAAGTTGGCACAGAGGAGGGTCTTGCCTGTTGTGCCATAGGTGGCTGCAGAGGCATATGAGAAATTCCAGTTGTCTGCAATGACTGTTGCAACTGGCCGGATGCCATTGGCATATGTGTTTGTTGATGATGTTGGGGCTGTGAAGATGGATGAAGAGGAAGTGAAGGTACATTTGGCAGTTGGGATGATTGAGGAAGGGGCACTGGAGGATTCAGATGTCCCTTCATCTGCCGAGGTGTCTGAAGGGAATGTTGTGTCATGGGTTGAGACGGAAAGGTTGCTGCAGGTACAGAAGCAGCTGAGATTTGTGTGCCAGCTTGGTTTTGATGTTGTTCCCTTAAAGGAGGTTGGGTCTGGGATGGAGCAGTTTGGTCCTGCAACCCAAGTTGACCTTGAAATGATTTTGCTGGTTGGATGTTTGGCATTGGAGGCTGTTGTGATGATTGCTGAGACTGAGATTGTTGTGATACAGGTGGCTGAATGGTAGGAATCTGAACACAAAAAAAATGGATTCATAAACAGGTACAGTTCCCAACATAAAATTTCAAGAAGATTTTGCAGAGATCAAAGCATACCACTTGAGGGGGCCTAACCATTCCAAGCATAATCTGAGCCTGAAGCAATAAATAAATAAACAAATAAAAGAAACCTGTTTAGACATGGAAGCTCCCCTAAAGATTTTCAACAAAACACCGTAGTCTAAACATATGCAATACACAGCAAAATTCGGTCGATTAACTATCAAGCCCTACAACATAACAATTTCCATAATTCTTATTCTGAGTTTGAACTAGAACTACAGGCATATAAATAAAAAAAAGGGCAAAAAAAGTTCATAACTCTAGCATACAAGGGATATCAAGAGAGTTTTAAAGGTAAAGGATCGTGCAATTCTCATAGTAATAGCAATAAAAATAATCATTCGAACCAACAAATCACAGCAACGTATAATAATTACTATGGAAATAAAAAATAAACCTTTAAAAGAATCAAGAATAGATTGGAAAGGGAAACGATGGGAGTTTTATTAAATTTGAAAAAGGAAATATATAAGACAAGGAAAACCTGGAAAAGGGCTTTAGTCAAGAGAGGGTTTTGAATAAGGATCTCTTTTGCTTGTTGCTGGTTTTGTTCTATAAGTGTCTGCATACACCCAAGAAACAATCAACAGAAAATACATATCTAAATTACAAATTATATTTCACGGCGAACGAACCGGCGTTTAGAAGAAAGGAAAAAGGAAAGGGAAAAATTGGAAGAGAAAGCACCTTCATCTGAGACATGATATCATAAAGTTGATTCTTCGACATTCCGGCTATGTTGGCTGGCAAGCCCTCACCGCCGATTTGCTTCCCCGCCATGATCTCCGTCGACTTTCCGTCTAGAGCCACACAGAGAGAGCGTAAGAGATTGACGTTTTAAGGCTTCTGCATGGGGTTTTATAGCATAGTGGTTTTGAAAGGCCGGCCCACAATAGAATTTGGGATCCAACCCCATTGCTCTACAAATCATCCAAAACTCAAACCCAATTATTGTTTCACTAATTTGTGCAAAAGAAAAATGGTTTGATTTCCAATTGTTTTCTTTTGACATTAGGATGTCATTAGTCTTATTCATACATCACAGTACACAATATTTTATGTTTAGAATATATGAAATTTTATAAAATTATATTAAAATTAAAAAACATATATAAAGTTTCAAAAATATAGATGGTATAAAATTAAATCGTCAGTAAAAATAATACATAAATTATATAAGAATTTAAAATATCTAGAGTATGACCCTCTTTCAACACCCATCGATTTATTTTTTATTATAATGATTAAAAGTGTTTGAATTTAAAGATGTTAATAATATATTTGAATATGTTTGAAATCGATCAACAATAAGTTGTTTTAATTATATTATTAATTAATTTTTTGAGATTGAATCTAATTAAAATTGTTGACCATATTCATGTATGTAATGGGGTGAGGGAGAGATAAGATAGTAGACTGGCTCTAACGTCAGGTTGAGAGCAGCTTCCGTGGAAAACTTTCAGCAGTCAGAATTATAAATTGATTCTAACTAATAAATTTATCTTATTATTCTTATTGAAAAGAGAAAATAACCTCAGTGACCGGAAATGCCTTATAATATACGATTTTGATCAACTTTTTTTTGATTTACCAAAATGACCAACAAAATCGCAATGCGATCTCTAAATCGCAACGCGATCTCCAGTATCGCAAATCAGTTTCCAGATTCGCAACGCGATTTTGACTATCGCAATGCGAATATGTAAATCGCAACGCGATAATACAAAATCGCAATGCGATAATACAAAATCGCAATGCAATTTTCCAAATTTACGTTAATCCAAATTCGTTGCGATTTTGAAAAATCGCAACGACTGGTGGTATTGCATTTGTTTCTTAAAAATTTTCTCTAAAAAGATAATATCCGCGCGGACGTGTAGAAGACACGTATAACCACGACCCGAGACGGGACGGTGGCGACAACAGTGCGCGAGAGTCTCCCTTGTTCTCTTCCACTCAACAAGGAAGTGGGAAATCCAAGCCTTAAATACCCATTCCCAATAGTGTTTACAATACTATGTGAGATTGAGCATTGTAAACACTTAAAAAAAATTTACACTATCACAACACATTCTTTATTGTTTCAAACTAAGATCTTACAAATGGCTTGGGAATCTTTTACACTATCGCAACACATTCTTTATTGTTTCAAACTCCACGTGAATTTGAAATAGTTAAAATGTAAACTTATTTTGGATTTTTCACTATCGCAACACTTTTTCACTATCGCAACAATACGTTTTTCAAACTTTCACAACACATTTTTCAAAATCGCGTTGCGAATTTGAAAACTGAGTTGAAAAATTAGAGTTCGCGTTGCGATTTTGTTGGTCATTTTGACAAATCCAAAAAAAGTTGGTTAAAATCGTATATTATAAGGCATTTTCGATCACTGAGATTATTTTCTCTATTGAAAATGAACCATTGAAATTAAAACTTATTAAATTAATATGACTAAAAGAATTAAAAAAAAATTGATTAATGTAATCATTAATCAAATTAAAGAAATTTTAATCGGTTCAATTAATAATTTTAAAAAATAATTTAATTAACGATTTAAGAAAAAAATTAATTCAATGCAATCTATGAGTAAATTAACCGTTTCAACACCCTTACGAGGGAACCACATTCCTTAGTAGTAATTTTATGTTGATTATTTTATAATAAATAATGAAAAAAGAGTTAATTACATCATATGTCCCCAAGTAATAATTCTCATTTTAAATTGGTCCTTAACCTTTTGAATATTCCAATTTCATCCTCAAATTATGACTCTCATTCTAAATTAATCCTTAAACTTTTGAACATTTTAATTTCATCCTTAATATATGACCATATTTCTAAATGAATCCCCAAACTTTTTAATATTCCAATTCCATGCCCAAATTCATCCAAATATGAAATTAGTTTCAATCATAATTTAACCTAAATTTTGTTTTTTTTCAAACATATAATAATATAACTTGACCAAACAATTTTATTAACAAGAGACATTATTAGTATATGCATATAGTTTGGGATGGAATTAGAATGTTTAAAAAGTTTGGGGGACTAATTTAAAATAAAGGTTATAATTTGGGGATGAAATTGAAGTGTTCAAAAGTTTGAGAACTAATTTAAAATGATAATCATAGTTTAGGGATAAAATTGGAATATTAAAAAGTTTAAGGACCAATTTAAAATGAATGTTATACTTTGAGGACATGTGATGTAATTTACTCATGAAAAAATTGAAATCACAATTAAAGCGAATAACAACCTATGAGATAATTGTTACCATGCTTGATGAAGGATAGCAGTACAATAGATCCTGAAACCCAAGGGAGAAAAAAGGGAAGAAAATAAAGAGAAAGGTTGCAAGCATACCCAGATTGACAACATAAAATTAAAATTATTTAAAAAAATAAAACTCCATTCCATTTAGGAGAGAAAAATTGCAAGCTAACCAAGATAGATTACATATAAATTAAAAAACTTCCACAACATATATATATATATGGGATAAGTTTCTATTACACAATGTAAAACAATTTTAGTTTTACACAAATTTAGGATCAATTGATGAGTGAAAATAGATGGCTGAGAAGATATTCACAAGAAGAAGAAAAAACAAGGAGTCAATCTCAGCCATCTATTTTCACTCATCCAATGATCCCAAATCTGTGTAAAACTAAAGAGTTATACATTGTGTAAGTAGATCATAACCCTATATATATAATATTCAATTTCTAAACATTGATATTGGTTTGGAAGGGTGTATAACTGCCATAAGAACCTAATGTAAGTGGAGAATTTTAGCAAGGCAATAGAATAGAAGTGGCATACCTCTGAGTGCAGTAACATTTTCTCATCAAAACCAACTGCTGTAAGACAGTTTGAAGTTGAAGCCTCTAACTGCAGATCTGCATCAACAAGCACAAACAAATTAAGGTCACAATACTCATATGCATAATAACAGCCCTCTCAACCCTACTGAGGAAACATTACAAATTTCAGATGGTAAAGGAATGGAATAATTAGAAAGAAATGCAATCTATAAATCTCAAAATATGACCAAAACGAGGATATATTGAGCTGGGAATCTCATAGATATTAAAAACTTACCATTTCATCAGATCTCAAATAGAAAACAATCATAAAGAATACTCCACCTGCTTTAAATTTCAGGAGTTTCTGAGGTTGGGATAATATCACAGAGTTTTCACTTAAAAAACACAAATTGTAATAGGACTTACTGCTTTCTTGCGAAGATACTTAATATGATTCCAATTCAGAAAGATCTCTCTAAGGCTAGGGTCTCCCTAGACATTGGTTCCACCCAAAGAAATTTTTTGAAGAGACTTATAGGTTCTTGCTAGGGCAGCCTAGTTGAAAAGGCAAATGCAGTCCGCGAATCAGTTGAAAAACAGAACAGTAAATTCTACAATAAAGAAACTTAGTGTAGCTCAGAACATTTTACCAGTTAGAAGATAACAAGCCGGTGAAAGGAAATACTGAAACAATAATAAATAAGCAAATAGGAAGTAAAAAAGAATCCTATCATCACTCTGTGACCATCTCATCCTGCTTTTGTCCTTGATAACCTTGCTTTTGACCATCAACATTATTGCTTTATTTGTATACTATAAACTTTATATCAGCATAGAAAGTAACTTAATAATTTCATTAACCAGCATCATACGGAAGGCAGCAATAAAGGAACCAGCACTAATACGGTGGTAATATAAACCATGTTCAATGACAAAGCAGTTTTGATCGAGTAATGACTAGTAGCAAGCCATAATAGCCTCGTAAAGCATTGACTACTTCTATGAATCTTATAGGGCACTTTGGAAAAATAAAATTAAGTTAGCCAGTAACACATACAAATAAAAAAAGTTTATCAGATAGGATAGGTCTTTGTTATTATAGCAAATCCTCTAAAAGTTCAATTTTGTAGCATATGGCTACAACTAAATGGACATTATGCATCTCAATGCACCATGTAAAACCATTGCAAAGTATGAAGCAAACAAACACCAAAATAACACTAGATTCAAGAAATCAACACTAAAAGCATTCGGTTGGGAATTGTTTATCAATTTCAGAATTGAAATATTGTTACTGGTTGAACTTTGATAAAAGAATATCAAAATGCAGGAAAAGAAAGCATAGCCAGGTTAGGCATTTCAATGATCATTTGACCAGAAGAAAACAAATGGCAGCATAGAGAAATAATTGAATAAACCTAGCAGAAAGTCACATGCAGTTACCTTTGTCTATTTGACTGGGTTCTGATTCAACCTGAATAAGGTCTACTTCCGGTGAACAAGGAGATGCATAAAACCCATGCCTTAGAATACCAGATGCATTATGTTCCCCGCAAATCTACATAGCTGAAATTGCTAAATCATCTAGAGCCAGAAAAGTTTCCGTAGTAATAGTAAAGTAGATTCTAAAATCATCTCAAAGGTCACGAAAACATAGCAAACCAAAAACAGGTGTGGGGAATGACAATAATATGAAGAAAGAAAAATTAAATAAGCATACATCATAATGGACAACATCATCAAGGTTGACCATCGTGCAGTTGGTACAAAACCACTGCATAAACTCTATGCACTTTTGAACAGGCTCCCAGTCACTGTCATCCTCGTTGTAATCATCAAAAGCATCTCGATCGTTGTACATATCTTGAATCTTCAATTCTTTCGGCAGCCTTGCTTTTTTCGCAGACAAACCAAAATAGCAAATGCAACAACTTAGAAATTAATCATTTTTTTTGAACCAGCATTCCATAACAACTATATTCCTTAAAATTATAGGAGTTCGTTATATGCTCTGCTTACAGAGACTCCATCAGGTCGTCTGTCATCATTTATATTTGCAAAAAATATCTCTTCCAGATGTTCCTATATCCCCTGTGTCAACAGATACGTCACAGTAACAACCTGTGATGTTCTCATCGGATACCAAATGTTTTCTTTTAAGAGCTTGATTGTTCTTAGCCTCTCCATTCATCACACAACTCGCTTGAACTGCTTCAGAAGCCATTTTGTTTTAACAGTTCCGGTGGAGATTTTCACCCATCATTCATTTATTTGAACCTGGAATATCTGCCAGCATTAGGAGAACAAAAAATTACGAACTGAGCAAATCAGACATCAAAAGACTGCAGAACTATGAAATCTGAAAACGAAGTAAATATTGGGATTGTTTACCATCTTTTAAAACATTTGGAGAAAAATAAATAAAGACATTACTTTTCAATGGTATCATTCGGATAGAAAGCAATAATTAAGTAAAAAAAAATCACAGATAACTAAAACTAACAATAAATAACAGCTGCATAAAACATCAAATCTACAAACACCCGCCAAAATATGACCAAACTGAAACTAACCAGACTTAAAAGAAGGACCCAGAAAAATTATAAAAGCCCACAATTAAAACAGAAAATTACACACAAGCGCGCGCGCGCGTACGGACACGGACACACCAAAAACTTTGTTTTTCAAAAAGGAATGACAGAGTTAAAGCCAAGAAAAAAAATGTTCGAAGTCAAAATTGAATTATCACTCTGCAGTAGAACATAGAAATCGAGACTACATAGCAATAATATAACAATAATTCAGCTATACATATCCATTAAAATACCGAAATTTCAAAATGCGAAACAGACAAAACTATACAGAATTTGTATTTTTTAGAAAATATATACTAAAAAAATAAAAACCCACATAGTAATTCATAAGCATACTTAAAAATAAGTAATAAATGAACGATTTTTTTTGAATTCCGAGGCTATTGGAAGCTAGAAGTATTCATTAGAGTCCTTGGTGATTTATTGGATTCAAGTTACTGCTCCCGTTTCTTGTAGTGTTTCTAATTGCACCCTCACTTGTTTTAATGATTTTCCAATTTGGTCCTCGGTATTCACTCATCCTTCGAATATCAAATAGATTTGAGATAAGATAGTGGATTTTTAAGAGTAAACTATACTTTTGTTTTCGGTTTGTCTTAATTTTATCGGTTTTAAAAGATTTGCTTTTATGTATAATACTAAACTTTAGGTGTTGATACTGTTGAGATACTAGTGATACTTAATTCTGATTTCAATGACAAAATGGTATATTAAAATTCAAAATTGACTTATAAAATTGATACTTTTACAATTAGTATAGATACTTTACATTGATTTCGTATCGATATCACATATATGGTACCAACACTAAATACATCCATGGATCAAATTCAACCTTAAAATCTTAAAATATGTTTTCATCCTTTCCTACATTTCATAATTCAACACGTATCACCTAGCTACACTACGAATACTTATCGATTAAAAGATATAAACCCTATCATCTAATTGTATCATGACACATGTATGATCTCATGTCAAACTCACCTTGTTAGTCATGAATTAATACATGATCACATTCTTACTACTTTGACATCATAATAAGCAAACAAACTATGAGTTACCAACTTAATGTTATACAAACATAGGTATAAGTGCATCCATATATATATATATATATATATATATAGCTAAGAGTTTAGTAAAAAAGATAATTACACTGACAAAAGTCTAATGATGACTTACGATCCAATTATAGGTTCGATATTGTCCACAATACATCTCAGACAATAATATATCATTGAATTCAATGAAGTCACAATACACACAATACTTAACATATTGATTATAAAAGCTTATTGCAACTTCTTTTAACAATGATTTGTCATCTGTTTTCTCTGAATAAGCTGATAGAAAATATATTCACTAATAAATTTAGCATCCAAATTCATATTATCATAAAACTCAAATTTGACATAAATCGCTAATGGGATCAAATTTTAGGGTTTACTTACACTTGGTGAATGATAAATTAACATTGTTCAATAGGAAATTCCACAAGCTTTCAGTGGTGTAATTTAGAGTTTTGAGTTCTTAAAACACTTGAATCTTTAAATTCAAGTTTAGGATTTTAAATCAACTTTCTTCAAATTAAGAATGAAAAACACTATTAACATCGAGAGCTTATCAAATATGTAATTAATTTGAAGTTTGGATGATTAGAATGACTTAATCCCTAAAATGAATATTTAAGAGTTCAAACCTTTTCTTTTATCAATGGTGATTTTGGTTTGGAGAAGATGAAAGGATATGGCTGCTTTGCTTATTTAATCCCACGTGTATATGGAGAAAAACCCACCTTAATGGGTTTGTAAATTTAGTCCAAATTCCAGAAATAAGAAATTTGGACTAAATAATAAGAATACAAAACTTAGTAGCTTATTCACTAAAAAGAATGGTAAAATCGTGAAGCTAATTCATCTTTGCTAGCCTTTTCACACAATCATTGCAAGAAATAATTAACCCTTGCCCATTATCTTTTTCCTTGTTTTCACTTGAACACTTATGTTTCCATTTTACATTTTAGACATAAAAGTATTCACTTAGTACATTTTAGTCCTTAAACAGCTTTCAAGACAAATCACATTTTAATACTATTTATTCAATGAAATCAATCACATTTCTAGAATACTAAAATACTGGAATAATAATTGGAAAAGAATTTTTCAATCATCGGACATCGAAAAATTCTAAACTGATTTCAAGGCGTTACAAATTTAATCTCATTTTAAAACAAGAGTATTGAAACTATCATTCATGTATTGATACTAATAAAAAGATATTATACTATTTTTAGCTTTGAAGTTTCAAAAATTCAATTTTTAATATAAAATATTGATGCTTCTGGTCCAAGTATCGATGCTCAAATCTGGTATCGAAACCAAAAACGAACACTGAATTTTTCTTTTTTGACAAATTGCACATGAAAATATGATACTCTTACTGCAAGTATCAATACTCTACAACAAAAATACAAAAATTAGTAGTTTTAGTCACATTAACATGCTTCTAAATGGGTCTAAATAGCACCAAAACCTTATGCAACCAATATGACCATGTTTTATACATAAATCATGACATGTAGACATATTCATCACATTGAATACAACATTCAAATTGATTTTAGCATGCAAAGTTCTTTCTGTGCATTTTATGTACTATGAACATACCATATAGGCCTATTAAGCAAAACTACTTCACAACCTTTCCTATCTGACCAAAAATGCATTCTAACTATTATAAACAAATTTCATATATCATGAGTGGAACATATGCAAGTTTCCAATTCCATAGCATCCAAGAATCATATTCTGACATAGAGAGTAATTTTCAACATAATTTATGCAAACTAGTACTATGTTCATGCAATATTAATGACAACTCTTGCCTGCATATACCAAATGGTCATTTTTCATTTCTATAAAGTTTCATGTAACATATGCAACCCAATATACAATTTCATACATTCAAAAACCAACACATGCTAAATTGGTTAGCATAACATGTCATGTATCAAGTTTGATCCCACACACAATGCATCATAACAAGTTCATATATACTTGTACATATTCAAACCTCACAGAATCAAAATAATCTCATCAAATACAACTCAAAAGGATAACCTTGAGCTATTTATCCTAGCTATACCGGAAATTGAAAACAACGGGGCCAATAGGGGAATGCAATACTGAAATCTAAAAAAGATCTCATAGCTCTATATATACTCAATGAACTTACAGAGTTACAGTATACAATAATCATTCAGCAACCGTTGAAAGAATTGTTCGTTCTAAATCTTCAATATCCCTCATTAATTTCTGATTCTCTTGATTCCCATTCTGTATCTCAACATGTAAAACTGCATGGAACAAAAAAACATGACAGGTCATATGTCGTATAAGAAATCTTGCAGAATTTCGGCAACCTTCTTAGAGTGAATGACTGTTTGTCAAATCTCAATAAATTTATACACTAGCATGCATCTTTCACAAGGAGCATTTCTTTTGATTGATATCCAAGCATTTCATAAACATCCTAGGAACATTGCATTATATATCTTGCTCCAAATTTACAGTAAATATCTTCCCTCTCGCTGCAAAGAAGATTTTGAAATGATGAAAATGTTTCATACAACATTATCCTAGTTTCCCCCACTTTCCCGATCCTTGTTATTTGTTCTCAACCTCAATCAAGAATACATTCATGTTCCATTCTGCTGTTTATGTTATTTATATCCAAACTTTAAGCATCATTGACATATGCGAGGAGCACAAATAATGTCCGGATCTCACTGTTTGCAGATAAATAGCAGAAAAATACTCTGATAAATACTTTTGTGATAATTGTTAGCTATATATAGATGTTATCCTTATCGTAATCTATACTTACCCTTTGTTTTACACTAATTCATTGTATCTCTCTATGTGGTTAAGTCATAACCACTATAACTAACAGTACCATTTGTTATTCTTCAACCATTCACTTCTTTCTTATTATTTAATGCTTTGGACCCGTCATGATGGGCATATTGGAAAGTAATGGAAGGGATAAACCCTTGGGAAATGGAAGATAAAGGAATGAGAAACGTAGAAATAACCAGCCAACAGAATTTAGGTGTAAATAAATGTATGTAGGACCAGTGTACTAGTCCATAAAACAAAATCAAGCAGAAATTTATCTTTTAAGACATCCTTCACCGAGTAAATCCCTTGTCGATTAATATACAATCTAGCATTCATCTGGTTCTTCAATCTAGATATGTTCTTAACAACAACTAGGAACCAGCAACATCAGAGGGGTTAAACTGAACATAGATAGTCCCTCCTCAGTCCTCAGGCAACCCAAAGCTGGATTTAATAAATGGTATGGTCTTGGTTGGGGATAATGACATCTACAGTTCAAAAAGTAAAATGGATATTGACAAATTAAGCAGACACTGAACACAGGTGATAGAAGATTACTGGTATCCTATAAAAATGGTATTTAGGTGTGACAAAACTAAAGCCTCTCCTAAGTTCTAACCTGCTGCTTCAGGGAAGTCAATAAAGCAGATGATACTTCTGTCAACAACGGAGTCTATTTGTTAATTTTGTATCTATCTGTAATGTTCCCAGTTTCTTATCTGAACTCTATATATTGAGGATACTATGGGAATTCTTTTCTCAAATATAAAAGTTGTATATTTCCACTATTTATTAATTTAATAGGTTCCCTGATCCAAAAAAAAAGGGGAGAAATGTATTATCAATGTGATGGCAGTGGTGCTGTGGTATAAACACTGGCCAGTAAATAAAAGTGACCAGTAACAATAAACATCAGGAATCAGAAAGATGAAAGGAAGACCATGTAGTCCAAACAACGGAGAGAAGGGAAAATCATGCACCTTATTCTAAGTTCTAATTATGTATGAAGCTAATTCTACATAGACTGCTAATCCTTAAAAACTGGGATATAGGGTATTACCAGCATTTGAAGTATAAAGGTCCTCAAGAACTTCTTCCACAAACGCGGACATTGAATTTCTAAAAGCATTATTTTTCTTATCCAAGAGATGAATTTCATTCTCAAGACGCTCTTTCTCTGACAGCAAACTCACCATCTCATCGTTTTCCCCATTTTCAATATCCCTTTGAAATTCTAAGCACACAGTTTGGTAAATCCTTCTCTGTAAAACGAATAGTAAGAAATTCATTATCTATATAAATTATTACAATTAGCCCATCGAATTTTACATAGATATTTAATACCTTAATCACAATTATATCATGTATATGACTCTATGAATTATGATATAAATACACCGATTGCCAAGTTTATGAATATATCGAAATATATCCTACATTTATTCTAGTTGCAAACTGGAAAATAATGTTAAAAAAGCTGCTGAAGATGATATATTATGTCATACATTTATTCAGATCAATAACAAAGAAGATAACCCAGTACATACCGTTTCCTTTCAATCCTCTTTAACATCTCATCTCGTTTCGTTGTTAGACAACTCAACTCATCCTCCAAAAATTTAAGCGAATTCCTTGAATCGGCTATAACCCAAAGAACCATATTTCAACCGAAGAAATCAATGACAAAAAAAAAAAAAAGAGTAGAAGAAATACCGGAGACGGAGAGCAAGCCATCGATTTCGAAGTGAGAAATGTAAAGCGATTTGGTAAGCTGAGACTCTCTGGTAGTAAGAGCAGCTTCGAATTCCGTACACTTGACCATCTCTGATTCTATCTCCCGCGTTACTTGAATATTGGATTCGATTTCTTCATTCACCTAACGAATAATAATTAGCTAAATTAAAGAAAATTGTTGGATTCTTCATTAGAAATTCCAGTAAATTCGGGAGGGGGCGAAGAAATAAGAAAGAAAGAGTACCTGATCGAGCATTTGCTTGAGGCATGAAATTTGGTATAGAATTGCTCCAGAATCCTCCATCTTGATTTTTCTTAATCCAAACTCCAAATTGTTGATTTGAGCTGGGGCAAGGAAAGAGTTACTTGAGAGTAAGGTGAGCAAAACTCTACTCGATTAAAAAAATCGACATTTTTCAACTCGATTCAAAAAATTAATAAATTTCACTCAATTCTACGCGATCGCTCACTCTACCTGAGCGCGCGCGCCAAGAGCTAAAGAAAAAACTACAAAACTGATTTTAAATGTTGATTTGATATTATATTGGGTAAAGTACATTCGTGGTCACTAAACTATAATTCAAATGATTATTTTAACAATTGAACTTTTTAAAGTCATAAAATAATTGTTAATTTGTCGACATATTATGAAATAATTACTACGACGTTATAAAATGATTATTAATTTTATCATATTATTACAAAAAAATTATTAAATTCCATCAAATTATAAAATGGTCCTTAAAATTATTTAACTTTATTATTATAATAATATCATTGTTATAATTTTATAACCGTTCAAAAATTTTAATGAATATTAACTTTTGAAAATTTAATGAATATTAACATAATTTAATATACTTTATATTATATGTTTATATTCAGATAAACCTAAAACAATAACTTATCAAAAACATAAATTTTGAAGAAGAAGAAATGGTGCTTATGTTGGTTGGACGAAACACGAAACACTTAAATGCGTGCAGCGTCTAAGTTAGGTAAGCCAAAAGAACATGTTTCGTAGAGGAAAGACTCTGAAAGGTATTGTCCAAATATTCTAAGCGTTTGTAAGAAGGGTCGTCTAAATGAGAAGAGCGTGTCATAATGCCCATGTTGTCTTTCCCCCGTCTTCTTCTTTTTCTCCTTCTCGTATGATTCTTTGGGGTAGAGAGGTTCATAACTCTTGAAAAGTTTTCTAGCTCAATTCTTGTTGCTGATGGTCATGTTGCTGCAACTGCAATTGGACCGTTTTGGAAAGCTTAGAGCTGGGCACGTAAGTTCTGTAGCTTCATATGCAACTATTGACCAGGAAAACAAGACACCAAGGGGACTTTAGGAAGAATATAAGGATGACATTGGTTATTTTTCTGTTGAGAGTTCATTTTGATTAATTCTTTTACGTTGGGAGGTGTTCACGCTCACCACGCCAATTGTTTAATGGTAAAATGCGGGGGTTATAATGATCATAAGCGATTCACTCCTTTTAGTTTGGACGAAGAGTCGCAACTGATTCTTTTTTGTGGAGATAGTGGACAATATTAAGCCGAAGACGAATAGTAATGGAAAAACGAATAGTTGATAAGGGGATGAATAATCGAGAAGGTTTGATCCTCTTTACCTCGCATAAGGATTTATACTTATATTTTATTTATTGAAATGTATGGGGATATATATATTGATTCTTATTGTTAGTGTCAAAACTATAGTTATAATGACTATTCGTAGATTGATAGAGTAAACGAACACGATCGTCTAACAATAAATTTGATCATAACATATCTCTCGAGTCTGCCAAAGGTCTATCAAAAGATTACGATTGATAAGAAATACGAAACTCTAGAAATTTTAACTCGTAAAAGAATTCTTCTAGAAGCTTCGATAAACGAAAAAATAATTACTGTGAACTTATATCATGTATTATTTTCTGATGAATCGTTTAATTAATAACATAAATACCCAAATCCTTATATTTACTCATTTTCATATCTCATCATATATATGTTTATTCACGTTAGAGTACGGTACGCATGAATTCTAGAAAACAATCCTATGGTGAACCTAAATAATATCATTTGTAAATTTAATCTGTCAATAATGATGTTTTAAATTTTTAGTTATATTATTTGTTACATGTTTAAAACTTTTTACAAATTAATTCAATAAATCGCACGAACCAAACGATCTCAGTAGTTAAAGAATTGTTATTATTCTTTAAAGTCTCATGTTCAAACGCCGCGTATGCATAGATGTATGAGCATGTAATGTCAAATGATTGAGAGATTTTGAACGGATACTGCAATATATTCATCCCGGATTAAGGAAAAAATCTAATTCAATAAAATCTTGACCATATACAATAATTCTATGCATCGAGTAAGAAGACAAGCATATGATAGTATACTAAGCTTCTCCAAATAACTACGTTCAATTTTTTAACAACTTTACCAGTCAATTGAAATCCACAAACTTCATCCCTAAATCAACTACCTTTTAACATTTTTATCTTCCATCTCAATCAAAATTTCATTTCTTCAACTAGCACTAATTCTTTCTGGTAAAAACCAGCACCTTTCATTTCTCCAGAAGTTCGTCCCTGGGCGTTATCAACATTTCCCAAAAACACGATCCGACCTGAAATTTTCATAGCAAACGTGAAAAGTCATGTACAAGCTCATTTTGGTACAAAACAACAACGTTTTTTGTTAACTTGCCTTCACCCCAACCACAAAAAAGACAACCATGAAGCAAAACCCAAGACCAGGGAGAAAAAAGCTACCAGTAAGCCACAAGATAATCAGATCCATCCATGCATGGACACACCATTCATAAAAAAACTGAAAATTTCAAGCAAGAAAACAAATTGTCATTCTAAGCACTACTATGACCTTTTTCAATCTTATATGGGTTAATGGCACGAATCGGTTTGTTCTAATGTGGCACCTCTACTTTCAAAATGTCTAATTTGGCACCTGATGTTTAATTCCGGTTATCAATGGGGTACTTGACCCTAATGCCCTTAAAATTTTTGCTAACATGACATGTTATCAAAATAGGTGATGGCATGTGGCAAAGTCAAAAGCATAAAATCCAAAAATATATAATATCAAGACACACTAAACCAAAAAATGACTATTAATCATTAAAGGCTTAAAGTAAAAATAAGTACCTAAACTATGCTCTCTTTTTGTTTTATGTACCTAAACTATTTTTTGGTTAAACTAAATACATAAACTATTATATTTAATCATTTTAAGTCCTATTATTTTTTCAATTAGAAAATTATTTTTCGACCAATAAGATATTGACACATCATACAAAATTAGGTACTTGTTTTGACCAAAAAAATATTTTAGGGGCTTAAAGCAAAAAAGAGACATTGTTTAGGAGCTTATTTTGATCAAAACATAGTAAAGGTACTTAAAGTGGTTATATATAATAGTTTAAGGACTTATTTTGACCAAAAATTAATTTAGGACTTTAGGTACTTAAAGCAAAAAGTACACTTTAGGTACTTTTTTTTTAGTTTAAGCCATCATAAAATCCTATGTTGCTTGGACTCGGGTATGGGTATGGGTATGTGTCTAGATGTCGACTCATCAATTGGTTAAACTTAGACTCAAGGTTACAGCACAAAAAGGTTCAAGAGGTTGTCGCAGGTGGAGGTACTTGTTTTATATGTGTTCTTAAATATAATATTTTTTTATAAGAACGTGGCCTCATTAAAAAACCCTTCATAACAATCAAGCTCCGAAAAACTTAATAGTAATAGGAAGGAGGAAAAGAGTGCCAAAATTTTATTACCAGAAATAAGGATTACATCCAGAAACAGAATAGATAAAGTACATATTTCCCCATACAAACACCGAAAACAGGACCCCTAAATAACCGAACCAAGACACCTCTCCTCACACTATCCTATACCCGATTTTGCTATACCATCAGCTTCATCATTAGTACATCTCTTAACAAGGGTAGTTATAACATTGAATTGCAACACAGTCTTCTGAATAACTCTAACCAAATCAACATAGCGAACCGGACAAGTTTGCGGGTTGTTTATCCACTTTAAAGCAGTAGATGAATCACTCTCTAAAATCAAACTCCCCTTATCCCTCCACACCGAATTAAAAAACAAGTTTAAGCCTTTTTGGATCGCTAAAATCTCTGCAAGGATCGGGGGCCTGGACCGGTTGCTCTTGACAAAGAACTCAACCTATTATTTTCAGCATCCCTGAGTACAACACCAATACCACTACACCTCCAATCAAAATTAACTGCCCCATCCACATTCATTTTAAAGAAACCCGTAGGGGGTGAACACCATTTTGGCTTATTCATTCCCAATTTAGAGGTGAACGGTTCAAATCTGCCAAGGTTAAGTCACAAGGCAGTCTACTTGGATATGTAGATCATTGATTTTAGCCAAGAACCAAGAAGCCACCCTGTATTTAACCAAAAGAAAAATTATGCCTTATCCAGTATGCCATTCTCAAACACTATATGATTCCTGTAATTCCAAACAGTCCACAAAACAGCACCCGGAACAAATTTCCAAATATCCGAACTTGGATTTAACTCAAACCATGAGAGCAGAAAACCTTTAGGATCATTTGGTAATACAGAAATTAAATTCCACATTCGAAGGATGCGCAATTTCCCACAGTTTGACACAAAGAGCAAATGATTCACCGACTCCGGCTCCAAACCACAAAACGTGCATAGAGAATCTTCAATTCCTTGGACACCCCTACCAATAAAGCAGTCTTAACAGCCAGCTTCTGATGTATCACCTGCCAAAGAAAACCTCAACTTTAGGAGGTAATAACCCACTCCAAACAATCTTTGACAGGCTGGAAATTAAGCTACTTCATGACTTACCGAAAAACACGCCCTCCCTTACCTTTCCAAGTGAAACAATCTTCAGTCTCTAATCCAGGCTGAAATGTATCCAACAACAACATCAGTTCAATCCATTGATCAGTTTCACTATTCATCAAATTTCTCCTCAAATGAATGTCCCAAATCCACCTCCCATTGCTAACATTTCTAAATTCTGCAATGAACCCATCCTTTTTAACCAACAAAGCAAACATCCTGGAAAATTGGTCTTCAAAGGGATGTTGCTTAACCAACTATCATGCCGAAACCTAATTGAATCTCCCTTTCCCGCCTGTAAAATTGGTGATTACGAAAGCATAACCCGAAGGGTGTCATTCGACCTATAGTTATTAAATGTGTGATGATAAATTAATATTTTCATATAGTATATAATACAACAATCTAATCTCTCTTCTTCTTTTTCTATCCTTATCCTTGTCATATCAACACAAGTGTGGCTCCCATTTTGGCGAGTTCAAGCATAGATAAAACCACTCACCCATTTGACCATATAGACACAATTGAATTTTTTGTTTTGTCAATTGTCACATAAGGAACAAAACAAAACGTGGCATGAAATATTAATCAAAATTACATCCTTATCACTCATGTCAAAATACATAGCACTAAAATATGTAGAAAAAAATATTGGCAGGACATGACAGTGCTTTCATTTTTTCAGTTCAGTAGAGCTAGTAAAATACTAAAGCGTGTAGTTACTATAGAACAGAAGAAAAGAAATATGCTTACCATTTCGACGAATGGAAACCTCTCTCAAGAGTCGAACCAGACCAGTGATGGAATCAGCAAAGATGTGTCTCCAGATTTCCCTCCAAATATACAATTGTACTGCATCACCCCAGGAGAAAAAAAGAGAAGATTGTTAAACCAAGATCAAGAATGAAGAAAATCAACAGCTGATATAATTATGATAAGAAATTGCAGTTAAAAGGCATCGGGCCATGCTCAAAGCAAGATTACATAGCATTAAATATCCCACTCCAACCATTCCAAGAGACTGATTAGACACTCATTTTGAATTTCATGCATAACAGAACTAATCATCCTAAGTTTATATACTGCAAACAATTCTATCTGAAAAGCTGCTATTCATAGAAATGATCAACTATAGTTCCCCACCCATTATCATGGAATAAACAAAACAGCCAAAAGCTATCTAGATTCATAGGTTAATCAGTAGTTCATTCAGTCCTTCAAAGTATATAAATAGATCATCAATTGAACCATCTTCCAATACACTTTTATGGCTAACCTTTCTAATGAGCAAGTCTGCGGTCGGGGGTCCTTTAAATATACAGCATGTAGCATTTTTAGTTATTTTATAAATCTTAGAGCTGTGCTGGAAAAGAAAGATATTCTGTGGAATAGAGGTTGCATTGAGATAGATCATGCATCACAAAAAAAGGCATCCATTAAAGATGGCTCATAACTTTAAGGATTTACTAATGTAGGGCATTCACCCTTACTCTTTACATGTTGTGCTTCCAAAACAAAGGAAATAACATTAATTAACCCTTTTGGTACCTTTTTACGAAAAAAAAAACAACGGTCAATACTAGAAATGGCAACAAGGAACAAAATTAAAGAATAGGAAAATGGACATAATCTGAATATCGGAAGCAGCATTTCTGCATATCAGGTGGACGAAATATGCTTCGAATAAAACCTTACCCAGGAAGAGCATGCTTCATGACAAGGCCTCCCAATCCCTCTTGGTAAACACAAACTCGATGCCACTGAATAGCACATCGATTAGCATACTCTTCCGGTTCCTCATTCTCATGAGGCCTCCTGTTGTTTCGAATCCCACCTGTCCCCACAGAAAACATTGTAATCGCCATCCATTTTTCAGTTTTTCTGCACTGGGGTTTGGCCTACCTGTCCAACCAAATTGCCTACAAACAGAAAACCATCAAAAGCCCAAGAACCATTTCCAGTTAAATTTCAAATAGAGTTCCAATACTAAAGATTTCTAAAGTTAAAAGTCCATCCCAAAAGTAATCTAATACGGAATTTTCACTTCTATTTTTACTTTTAACTTCTAAGTTAGCGAATGCTTAGAATTCTACAAACAGAAATAATGAAATTTGAAGAATATCCTTTAAAAGAAGAAGAATAAGACAAGAGCAAAATCATTGGAGTGAAATGAATGAACCTTGTAAATGCCCATATCAAGGCCATTCTCACATCGGGCGGTCGTATAAACGACTCTGGGGGGAGTCCTTGGCAGATTCTAGGGCGAGATGAGTTGGGAAATGGATCAGAGTCGGAGTCGGAAGTTTCAGCAGAGGGGGAAAGGGTGGCGGTGCTAAGGGGAAGTTTAGGAGTTTTGGGTTAGAGAGAAGAGATAGACAAACCCTTCTTGATAAATTTGTCATTGAATTCGCCATTTTGGTGTTGAAAACGTGAGGTGGGTTTAAAACCAAAACTTAAACCCTAACTGTATAGTTTTTTTATAAAGTACACAAACGGTGTCCGATATATAAGTTGATATTTTGTTAAGTTTCTGATTATTAGAAGTTATAAATAATCATCTAACTATAAGTATTGCTTTATTAAGCCCTTTCAACTATAAAAATTGTTTTCTCTGTTTTATTGAATCACTGACTATATGTATGTTCTAAACTCATTCTTCTTTGTAAAAGTTTTGGCGTCCGTCTGAGCTAGATGTTAATCTACTTATTAGATATGATAAATCTGATCATATAATTGTTTAAGTAGTATTTTGTGATCGAGTCTATTTACATCATGCTATCGATCTAGTGCTTGAAACATTATGTCCTTGAACCAGTGATTAAAAGCAACGACAGTGTCGATAGACATGATTTTATCATATCCCAATCAACATGTAACATTCGGATTAGACAATCGTCATTTTTTAATAGAAAAGGTTGGATTTGAAAAATATTAATAGTCGATGATCATTTTATAACTTTTAATAATTGAAGACTGAATAAATGACACTATAATCGAAAGATCATTTCTAGTGCTTGAAACATTATGTCCTTGAACCAGTGATTAAAAGCAACGACAGTGTCGATAGACATTGATTTTATCATATCCCAATCAACATGTTAACATTCGGATTAGACAATCGTCATTTTTTAATAGAAAAGGTTGGATTTGAAAAATATTAATAGTCAGATGATCATTTTATAACTTTTAATAATTGAAAGACTGAATAAAATGACACTTTATAATCGAAAGATCATTTTATAAATTTTAATAGTTAATTGACTCGACAAAGTAGTGTCTTATAGTCAGGAGACTATTTGTATATTTTACCCATAATTTTTCTTTATAATTTATGTGAGCTCATTATAATAAACTATTTTTAGTTTATATTTTAAAAATAATTATGATTATTTTATTCAAAAATTAACGGGCATAATATCATAATAAATTAAGTTTATACTAATTTTAAATCATTACATGAGTACAATTAGATGATTTATATTATCTTTTTTTTTCAGTTAACATATTCTCATTTCTTATCATTAATTTCAAGTCTATTTTTACTCCTAATAATCTAAAATAAATATATTTTTTAAATTTTGGAGTATTTATCGATATCCAATCTATAAAAAAGTTTCAGATTTCACTTGTTTTATTTAACGTTCTCTAAATCAAATAGGGCTTATAAGAGTCTCTTGAATTAGAACACAGAAAAGAGATGTTAGACAAGGGATGCCAAATTTCATCTTTGCTTTCACCAATCATTTGGCTGTAAACTGGACTACCATTTCACAAAGCCTGAAAATGGATACAAAACCAATCTATATCTATGTTTCAAATGGTACAAAATTTCCATATTTGGATACAGAATGCAAAAGTTCAGTCTTCCATCTCTTTACACCGCAATAAAGCCGGCAGGTTTAGCCTCATTCTCGGCTGATCTTCACCCTTTTGGTCACAGGAGATAAGAAAAGCTTTCTAACCGAGGCAACGGGATCTATAACCAGCAGAATAAAATCTAGGAAGATTATTATCATGGATAAGAGCCCACAAATTTTCTTTTAATTATCATGGATAAGAAACAGTTCCATAACGAATTGCTTTATGGATGTCGAAACCTAACTGTTATCAACAGATTCGAAAATTGAGTAAAACTGAGGACATGCCATACCATATTCACATTCATAAATACTTCCATTTCAGCTCCATTACTTGAATAAGTAACATTTCGAATTACCTTAATCATGGAGGCAGATGAAGGAGGAGAACATGCCGGTGAAGAACGAGGACAATCTTTCCCACATAGCAAAGCAGATAATGTTTGTTGCCATCCGGGTGCCCCACCACTCATTGATGCAATCCATGGACAATAATGCCTGTGCTGCCTGATTGGATCAAACTCTGATATTTTATCCATGCGCAGTTGCTTTTGATCCTTTCCTGGAAAATGGGGGAACATTAGTTGATCACCCCTTGTAGTTAACTTACAAAATTCATGAAATCAGGCAGACAGGAATATAACATATGCAAATACCACAAACCCATAAGCCAGATATAACTTACATATCAAGAAAGAAATATTTTTATTACCAATCAGATAGACGACAAAGTTCTAATGAGGAATTAAGAAAAGGGAAATAAAAGACCACGCATCTACTTGATCAGCCTTTCCAGGTAGCAGTAGCACTGAGAAAAATCACAAAGCTCCTAGCTGCTCCAACAAAAGGTTTAAAGTACAACAGACATATTTGGGGCATTATTAAGAAGCAAAAAAATAAAAAATAAAAATAAAAATAAAATAAAAAAATATTGAATTCTAACTTGTGTCAACGAATGTAAACGTGCCATCCCAGTGGCTATGAAGTGTTTTGAGTGTAATCAGAGTTCATTATTGCCTAATTATCCTTGGATCAATGACCTTTATCAGTCCATTAAGAACTTTAAACCGTTCTGTTGCAAATTCCAAGATGAAAATAAGATAAATAGAAATTATATTAAACCCCATCACCATAAATTGAAAGCAACTCCAGAAGATAGTCTCAACCACCAACATCAACATAGTTATTCCTTCCATGTAAAAACATTGTTGCTTACTTTGGGCTTTAGTGTACTAGAAAAGTTGAGCATTCTTATGTGTATGGAAACAATCGCACAATCACATTATAGAAAATAGAATATTCACACAAGATATCGTAAGGCAAAAAAAGGAAATCCATATCCTAATTTAACTTCTGTAACATAAAAAGAAGTAGCATCTTCCTCCAATCGGAAAAAGTTTGTAGTTTAACTTTCATAATCATAAAACAATATCGGTTAAAAGCATAGCAGCAATGCCCCAAAAAAAAGGGAACTAATTAACAACATAGAAAATATAGGGAAAAAAGGCATATTGACAGTAGAACTTTCATTTTATTAAAACTTTTCCAATACTACCGAGAATTAAGCTTGTAGATAGGAATAATAATGCATTAATGCTTACCTTTGGGATAGGATAAGCCCTTATTGTTTTGTGCAGTCTGGACTTCATCGATCACCCCTTCCTCACTATTGGCACAAGTTTTGTCTTCTCTTGAGGTCATCTTGTATGTGCCATCAACATTTAAATCAACTTCCAAGCAAGAGGCAATACATGTAGAGTCTTGATTAGGTAAACAAATTTCTTTATCACAGACTTTCTCTGCTTCTGCAGTTTGTTCTGGATGGCACTTTTCAGATGTAATCATAACCGATGAATCATTATTTCCTTCATTTCTAGGGAAGCATTAGCACCTTGTGTCATAACAGAAGAGCCATCATTGTCTACCTTTTCAAGATAGTTATTACTTTGCCAAGAATCTTGGACTACATTCTGAGAACTCTCTATTTGAACCCTCATATTAGAATCATCTGTACCAGCATAAGGAGAAATTTCTTTTGCAGTGACGTTGGATCCTTCTAATGGAGTGACATTTCTAGAATTGTGATCTCTTGCACAAACATCATGGTTTGAACAAGGAGACTGATCATTGCTTTTAGAATTACAATTAACTGGTCCTCCTTGTTTGCCATTTGAAGTTCTCAACTCTGCCAATGGGACACCTGGCTCACTAACACTATTATTAAAACAATCTATTTCTTCCTGAAACTTGGATTCTACTGGAGTATTTTCTTGATTACTATATATCTGATCTCTAAACTCTGGATTATACAAAAACCTAGCACTTAAACTCCGGCCAATAACAGGTAAATGTATTATTGCTTTAAAGTTTTGTCGTGTTGGTGGTGGACCTCCTGCTATAGTAAATTTTAAATTTGAAGATTGCTCCATAGATGATGACCTACTGTTCGAAGGAACACCACCATCACAAACATTGTTTTCGTGACCAGAATCATGGGCTCCAGGATTGACTTCTTCACACCCAAATAATCTGAAGAACTCTACAGGCTGTTGAACAGTGAGAAAGCCCATAATCCAAACACTTGCGCCACAAAGTCTGCAATCTAAAACAACAGTTTGGGATCATACTGCAATCTAAAAGAATTCTCAGTCTTTATTTGCCTCCAAATTTTCATTTTCATCAGCTGCATGAAAGTTGAGACACAAGTTTAGTCCATAATCAGCTCCCTGAGGTAAACTTAAAATTTCAGCATCTTTGGCAAACTGATTCTGTCCATCCTTGCAATCAACTACATAAGGTAGTAAACGTGGTTCCCAGCCACAGAGACTTATAAGCTTTTGAGCCTGCAAAATTTTCAAATTAATCAGTCTTCAACAGCAACAGAAATTCAGGAATGCATAAATGATAAAAATCTCCAATGCAGGACATGTTATATTGTACAATCATAAATTGGCGAAACCATTGGATTATTATCACTCTTTTTACCGAAGCACGTGGATGGTATGAAAACGCAGTACAAGAAAGTTTCAGAAAGCAACATGCTGTTTAAGTGTACATGTACCAGCCCTAATGTACTTGTAATGCAAACCACAATGAGAAACAAATTTCATACCTGATAATACAAGTTAGCAGAATCCACATCAGATCCATCTTCTACACTTTCTAGTCGAGAAAACTCACATTCTCTTTCAGAAAATCCACCGTTAGGGGTTCTTAGAAATTCTTCGAGCTGAGGGCTTCTCATAAATTCAATGGCCGAATATGAAATTACTGGAAGAGTTATAAGTTGAAAGAGTGGGTTGGATCTCGCCGGAATTTATCAACTAAATCAGCAGGCACAGTGGGAGGAAATTCGGCCAGTCTTTCATCACAGACATTGTCAATCCAAGGGCAAAACATTTGTGTCCACTATCCAGCTTTAATCTAAATACTGAGGCTGCCTTCTGAAGAGTTATAAGTTGAAAGAGTGGGTTGGATCTCGCCCGGAATTTATCAACTAAATCAGCAGGCACAGTGGGAGGAAATTCGGCCAGTCTTCATCACAGACATTGTCAATCCAAGGCAAACAATTTGTGTCCACTATCCAGCTTTAAGCTAAATACTGAGGCTGCCTTCTCAACTGAAGTGTAAGAAAGATGATATCTAATTTAGCTTTGTAAATACCAGAATTTCCATACTATTTGTTCAAAGTTAAGCAATATTAGATACAAAACATGCCTGCTGCCGTGTCCAAGAAGGTGGAGTAGAAAAAGGAGACGTGCTCCGCATGATTCACAGGCTAGAATGTCCATATCCACATGACCCAACCTATCGTGGCACAATTAACAAAGCACTTGCCACCTAAAAGAATGGAAAAATTATCAGCTCTTTATATATATAACTTACGAAAGAGCGGAATCAGATATGGAGAACATAAAATAGAAACCTTGGGCTTGGCAAACCAGGTCATGGATTTGAAAGTTGATAACCTCCTGAGAAAATCTCCTCTATCCCATGGTCTGCAATTTGGAGATTCACTCGCAACTAAGCAATGCTGCTTCTCTTCCGCTGCTAAATCATACGATGGATTCGGCTTTCTTTGCTCGTAATAGTTGTCCTTGTCTTCCCAAGCCTGTTCCCGGGGCGGTGGCGGTGGACTACCAGTTAATACAAACATATTAATAAACAAATAGCAGTTGACAGAAATTTCAAGTTTCATCGACTAGAGGAAACAAATCAATAGTTAAAAGGAAACCTGGAGGAGGAAGGGTTTGAAAGAGCTTGTCCATGATCGAATGAACCTCTTCTCTGCATCGTCGGCCATCTTTACTTTATCGAAGAAATAAAATCTTCGCTGTACAAAAAAAAAATAAACGAAACAAAGGAGGAAAAGAATGTTGCTGAACTTTTGCCGCTCCTACAAGACTGGGCTCTGCTAATATCTAACCATTGGCTTTCTTCTCGCCTAGCATTGTATAAGTTCAGGGCCAGGCTGAGAGCACAAAATAATGAAGATAGGTCAATTAGTAGGCCCAAAATAGGAAAGCTTCACCTTTGGATTCAAGGGTGTAAAGTGCAAGTTATGGCGTATGTGATTAAGAATGGAGACGGGATCCGAACTCAATCGATTCTGGCCCAATTCGATTCTATTGGATTGGATTTTTATAAAATTATCGGGTTTAGTTGGATCGGGTCAAATTTTTCAGGATATTTTTTATAAATATATTATTTGTGTTGGTCAGATTCAGGTTTAAACTTTTATCTCAAAAAGATGGGTTGAATTCGGGTCAGGTGAAGAGTATATATTTTAGGGTTAATGTATAATTTTCAGGGCGGGTCAAGTTAGGTCAGCCGTTGGGTTGTTTTTGTAGTTGAGTCATTGATAGTTTTAGCGAATGTCTAAGAAAAACCCGTTTAATTTAAGGTTAAATAATAATGGAAATAAGAATAGGTAAAAATGTGATAAAAATATATAATATTTTAGGTTGTAATTTAAAATGTTACGAAGAATGTCGTTTTTGATTCACACCATAGTTTCATGTTGTTCAAAAAGGTCGTACAATGGACAAAGTTGAGCCACTTCTTGGTGATGGGATTTATCACATATCTATGACCTAAATATCTTCACTTTCTCATCAACTTTAACTCATTCAAAATGGTGCTATGAACTGTGAAGAATCTGAATGATATTCCGGGTCAGCATCCTGGTTTTGCTTCACTTGCAGCCGGTGCCGTTTCTCCGGTCACCTTCAGGTCAGTTCATACATACATAAATACATACATACATATAGATCATGCATGGATGGTCAGTCTAAAGCTAATTTATTGGCATGCATTTAGAAAATGAAAAAAGCAAGCTCCTGCAGGAAGATGAGGTGCAAGATGAGGGAACTGAAATGTTCAACAGCAAGAACATAGAAATGGAATTAAACCCAAAGTTGATTAAGAAAATAATCGGTGAAAAGTCCGAGCATTCGCAGAATCTTGTAATGGAGTTGGAGATGGAGAAATCGACCCTCGAAAGGAGACTGCTTGAGTTGTATAGTCTGAAAGAAAAGCTATATTACATTGCTTGCCTGCAGAGGAATTTAGATGACAAAACTGCAGAAATCGAAAAACTCGAATTTGCAATATTTGCACTTAGGGATGAGATAAAGGATCTGAAAGAATATAATGCAGGTAGCTTGGAAGTGAAGCAACTAGATATGGAAAAGAAGATGATAGTGGAAATGCAGATGAAGAATGGCAATGCTAGCCAGATGAAGAGGCAAATATTTGTTCTTCAAGAGCAATTATCTGGATTTGCTGCCAATGAAACCTCTGTTCAAGATGCTTCGGTCGAAAAACGGCTTGAAGCTATTAAAGATATCGAATTACAGGTCCTTAAGATGAGAAGAATAAACAAAGAACTTGAGTTAGAGAAGAGAGAAATTTCATTTAAGTTATATGCTGCTCATGCCAAAGTATCTGCACTTTCTGACATGAAAGAGGTAAATTTAAGTCTGGATTTCTTTTCTTGCTAACTGCTAGTTTTACTATTAGCTATTGCACAAATTACTCGCGTTCGTGTTCATGTTCATGTTCCTGTTCGGTCCACGAAGTTCATACTCGAAAGTGTGATGCACCTCAAGGCACAAAATAGCAGAATACATCATTGCTTGAATCTGAAAAGTTTTCCTCTTAACTGGTGCTGTTGCAGATTAAGACTATTGCCAAGATTAGCGAACTGAGACATGTCAATGGGGACCTCTTGAACGAAGTCGAAAGACTGCAGAAGAGCAGATTCGCCATGGTTGAGGAGCTAGTGTACCAACGCTGGCTCAATGCTTGCTTGAGGGCTGAAATCAAACATCATCAAGAAAGAACTTGCAAGAGAAAGTTCAGAAAGCTTCAGACCCTAAATCGAGCAAGATAATTACACGATTCCTCGATACGAACAGCACTTCGTCATACACCTCTTCAACCAATACTGAAGAGACAGATAGTAGCACCATTGATAGCTCTTGAAATAGTAATTCCGGCACGGGTGATTGCGCCTCTGGAGCGACGATCCTAGTGTTGTTTTATCACCAAACAAGTCCAATAAAAGCCCTTCGGACAGAAATGGCATCATACGCAGGTTTTCTACTTCAATGGTCCCTTCAAACACATCAATGCTAAGCGCTAAACTAGGTGGTACATATGGCAAGAAAAATGTGTCAGCTCCAAAGGAACTTACTGAAACTATGAAGATGCCGGATCTTACAAAAGTAAGGAGAGTTTCTTTTGATGCTGCTGCGGTCGAAACAGTTTCACCGGAATCGGTAGAAGGGCTATTATGAGAAGGGAATCGTTTCTTTAGTCACCGAGGATCGGTCAAGTGCGAAGACCGGTGCATTGGCTGGCAAGAAACATGAATCTCCGTCTGAGATCGCTCCAGTGGAGCCAAACCAGTCAAGTGATCATTCAAATAGGAGATCCATTGACAATGATGATGGTGACGCCAAAGAAGTTAGCAGGGTGGTGTCGGAACCGTCTTTCGGTTGGGCATGGAATTCAGTTTCGACTTGAAAAATGTGGATTGGAGTCGCCACCGATCATTTATTTTAAACAAAATAGGTTGATCGGATACCTTATTTCTTACCTGATCCGCTTCTTACCAAAGATGTGTCGGATTCGGGAGTCGGTTACAGTCAAGGAAGGGTTAGCACCCTTGAACTGCCCTTTCGGTACTGTGTAATTTCCAGTTTTCTTTAATTAAGAAAATTGAAAGTTAAATTAAAAGGTAAAACATCGATCCGAATTACTTACCCTTGATTGATTGAAATTCCCTTAAAAAAAGACGTTAAAGAACGAAAATGAAAAAATAAAAATAAAGGAACAAGAATAAGATAAAAATAGAAAAAAAAGTTAATAAGCAGTAAAATAAATAATAAATGAATATTAATAATCTATATACAACCAATGAAAAATACAATGAATAAAAAATGATCATCAAAGAATAAAACAAAGTAAAGAAAAAGGTAATCGAATAAAAATGATTGAAATGTACACATAATAATAATGGATATATAAATAAACTATTAAAAGTATATATATATATATATATATATTAAAATATAGCATTAAGCAAAAATAATCAAATAAAGAAAAAAAAATAGTATACATATATAATAATAATATATATATATATATATATATATATTAAATTAGTAAAATGAAGATAATAGTAAGAGAAAATCGCCTCAGCGACCAAAAAAATTATAATACGATTTTAACCAACTTTTTTTGGATTTGCCAAAATGACCAACAAAATCGCAACGCGAAATAAAAATCGCAACGCGATCCCCAGAATCGCAAATTAGTTTCCAAAATCGCAACGCGATTCTTGAAATCGCAATGCGATAGTACAAATTCGCATTGCGATTTTCCAAAATCGCAACGCGATATTAAAATCGCAACGCGAACACATAAATCGCAACGCGTATCCGTAAATCGCAACGTGTATCCGTAAATCGCAACGCGTATGGGTAAATCGCAATGCGTATCCGTATATCGCAACGCGTATCCGTAATCGCAACGATAATCCGTAAATCGCAACGAGAATCTGTAAATCGCAACGATAATCCGTAATCGCAACGAGAATCTGTAAATCACAACACTGAAATTTTGGGTATATAACCTGAAATCATAAACTAAATCCCTAAATCGCAACTCATTCCATCTCCATCTATCACTCTCTCCGGCGACATCCGTTCCTATATCCACGACATCCTTCCCAATCCGGCAACAGGTTTTAGTTTCGCAGCTCGTCTGTTTAGTAAATTAATTTACAACCATGAATCATCTAATGTTGATCATGTTTGGATAGATTTGTGTTTTGGAGGTCATGGGATAATGTTCATGGTGTTTTACAATATGCCTTTACCCATGAATCTTCAACTAAAATTGTCTTTACAAAAGTTAACTTATGAAACTCTAATGCTACGTGTTTCAAATAATTGAATTTAGAGCCCCTAAGTGGATTTAGGCTATCTTATCAGAGAAATGGTAAAGTTTATTTGTTAACCGACAATGAAGATGTTGAACGATTCATTGCTTACATTAGTGTTTCACAAGATGATGTTACATTGTATGTTGTTGAACCTAGAAGTAGTATTGTTGGGTCAGTAGCGGGTAGTAATCAACTAAGTTTTTCTCAAAACCCACAACCTTTCTCTAATCCAAATCCCAATCAACTTTCAGCACCAAATTCGGTTTTCGTATGACCATAGACGATGATGAGCCAACAGAAAAAATTGTGAGTACTAGTCAGTATTCGAAATTTGGTCTTGGTCAATATCCGGACTTTGATATTGGTCAATACACGGATTTTGATGATGTTTCAGAAGAAAAACAGACCATGCGTGTAATGATATTGATATTGGTCAATACCCGAATTTTGATGATGAAACAGCCGTTGCCGAAGAATGTATTGTTGATGATAATGAGGAGGAAGTTACGACTGTGATGAACATGTTGAACATCCATTCTGTAATTCATATAATCCTGAAGAAGAAAAAGAAGAAGAAAAAGTCCCCGAAGAAAAGAAATGCCACGGCGTATAACTGGAATATGCCAGAATTACTTCAGATACCGGAAGAAGAGTTGATAAAGAAAGCAGTTGATTGTTACACAAAAGTTATTCGTATCAAGAAAGATGATTGTTTTGATACAAAGGAAGACTTGAAGATAGCTTTATATACGAAATGTGTGGAAGATGGCTATCAACTAAAAGTTAACAAATCAAGCAAAGATCATTTCGAACAAGGTGTATGATTGACAAAAACTGTGGCGTATGATTGCAAAGAGATTTGCAAAATGTTTCAAGTTAGGACTTTTATTGATAAACATACATGTTCAAGAACCCAAGTTTTTCCTCACCATAGACAGGCAAACAAAAAGGTGTTGGGTGGTTTTCTGGCTGAGTTAATGTTTTTGAATGGCAGGGTATATCGGGGACATGAAATTATGACTGACATGAATGCTCGTTCAAGATTAGTATATCATATTCTCAAGCTTGGAGAGCCAAATGTTATGCCTTGGAATTGTTGAGGGGTCGCCAGAAGCATCGTTTGCCCAACTGCCGGCTTATTGTCACAATTTAAAGCTGAAAAATCCTGGTCGGTAACTCATATCAAAACAGATAGAGATGGACGCTTTGAGTTGCTGTTTATCGCCATTGGTGCTACGGTTTTTAAATCATATAATTTTGTTGACTCATTTTTGTTAGTTACATGCATTTCACATTTAAATGATTATATTTCTTGTGTATATTATTTTGTAGATTCGTTCGTTTATTACTTGCATGCGCCCAGTTATTATAGTACTCGGACAACATCGACGTCATCCATCCGAGTGAAACCAGCTTTCTTATTAAACAATTTCTTCAGGTCGTCGACATGTAGGTTCGGCTTCTCCATTGACTCATCCGGAAAACCCGGGATAACCATGATGGCGGGCGATATGACGAGTGTACCGACCTACATCATCGTGTCCGAATCGTAGACCAGTGATTAAGCAGAACTCCTTCCGCCCAAACAAGTATACGCTGGTGGAAATGAAACCATATCTCTTCCTCACCACGTTGTATACTGTCGGGTAGATTTGATGTCATGGTCTGAAGCCACAAATGGGTCAAATTAGCATCTCCACCCGGATGCTGTACTCTCAGCCATGGCCCGAAGCAGGTTTCCTCAAACAATTGTCTTTGAGCAGGTGAAAGCTTCGAAGCAATTGTAGTGGCCAGGCTGACTTTATTCTCAAGGTCAATTGAGCCGAAAAAAATTTCTACAAAAACAATAAACATACCAAGTTAGATATACCAAAAACTACACTGTGAAGATATACCAAAACAATAAACATAAAAAGTAGTTTATTCTTGAAACTAAAATTTGCAACACTGTTTGTCTTTTGGTTGAAATGAAAATCGCAACGAGAGAATCGCAACGCGAAATGACAATCGCAACGAGAGAATCGCAACGCGAAATGAAAATCGCAACGAGAGAATCGCAACGCGAAATGAAAATCGCAATGCGATTTTGGTTTCGCGTTGCGATTCTCTCGTTGCGATTTTCATTTCGCGTTGCGATTCTCTCGTTGCGATTTTCATTTCTCTCGTTACGACAGTCATTCTCTCGTTGCGATTTTCATTTATCTCGTTGCGACTCTTCTGCAAATTGAAACTTGAATGGATTGCATTACTTCAACCAAAAGACAGAACAAAGACAAAGACAAATATTAACTTGAAAATCGCAACGAGAGAATAGCAACGCGAAATGAAATCGCAACGACAGAATCGTAACGCGAAATGAAATCTAAGTGATATGAAAAACCTACAATAATGCAAACATTTCAAATAAAAATAATTAAAAAACTAACCCTCGGAGGTTGATTTTCCATTTCTGAATATTGTGAGGGATTTCTGACCGTGAATGTTGTGAGGGATTTCGTCGGAGATGGGGACGAAATCTTCGGATGGGACGGATTTCTTCGCCGTAGAGAGAGAGGAGATGGGACTGAGTTGATTTAGGTTTTAGGTTATGAGTTGCGATTACGGGATTTGTCTTAATATCGTTTTGTAATTTGAAATAAATACGTAGCGATTATAATGGCGCTTTAAATATCGCGTTGCGATTTACGGATACGCGTTGCGATTTTATGTATTATCGTTGCGATTTACGGATACGCGTTGCGATATCGGATACGCATTGCGATTTACCCATACGCGTTGCGATTTACGATACACGTTGCGATTTACGGATACGTTGCGATTTATGTGTTCGCGTTGCGATTTTCATATTCGCGTTGCGATTTTGGAAAATCGCAATGCGAATTTGTACTATCGATTGCGATTTTCAAGAATCGCGTTGCGATTTTGGAAACTGATTTGCGATTCTGGGGATCGCGTTGCGATTTTGTTGGTCATTTTGGCAAATCCAAAAAAGTTGGTTAAAATCGTATATTATAAGACATTTTTGGTCACTGAGGCGATTTTCTCTAATAGTAATAGTTATATTAATAAAAAAAATATATATACATATATAATAATTTGTAAACAAACAAAAAGTAATAATATAAAAGTAAAATAGAAACGTATATGTATAAGTAATAATATTAAAATAATAATAATTATAATAAATAAATAAAAAACAAAGTAACATGACTAAATTGAAAGAAACCCTGATTGAAGGTCGAATTCAAAGAAATGGGGTTTAAAAATCGAATTTGGGGGTAAAATGGAAGTTTTAGAAATCGGAGGGTCAAAAAGCACAGTTTACCCTTTATACAACAGAAACATGCGGATCCCCTCATTTAAGCCAACAAACGTTTTAAAATTCATTTCATCCTTATTTGAAACCAAAGACTCCCCCTTTTCATCCTTTTCTCTCGCGTGTTCATCCTAGTGGATGAACACAGGCTGCCTATTTCCAGAACCCGTCCGTTGGCCGCCCCGCGCCGCCTCGTCGGCCGCCGTTCATCGACGGTAAACCTCGAATTTTTTGATTTTTCTGAAAGCTCGTACCACCCTC